AAAGTTTAAGCGATCAGGAACAGCTAGATGAAGAGCACGTGTCACGAGCTCGAAAATTCACAAGTACATCTTGATTTTTCCGAAGAACCTCTTCTTTTCTTCATTATATTGCTCGGAATGCATACCCCCTCTGATCTATATATATATATATATATATATATATATATAGCCGACATCCTAACGTAACTGAAGCATCTTGAGATTAGGCTGTACAATAATCAGTTTTACAACCCTACTTGAGTAATTATATAAGAAATCTACTCTATATACCTCGGTCACCATTTCCAGTTTTTTGCATAGCATCTATCTCTTGGCACCTAAGTTATCCAAAACGTAACGGGGGTGTGCTTTGATCTTCGTGGTCTCCATTTTCCGTCGTTACTATCGCATGAGTCTCTAGCCGCCTCATGCAGTTGCCTATGTTCGTTTGTCTCTGTAAATTTATTTGTATTTATTTTCCTTTTAGTTATCCTTTTGCTATAGTTGGTATCAATTTAACCGACCTACTGAGGAAGTGGCTGCGGGATGGCCAACTTAAATGCCATTTCTACAATTATGTTAAGGCTGCTCCAACTATGGATGACTTTCACTTCGCCTATGGTAAGTTCCTCATTTGCGGCTATGCACTCTCTTCTCGGCCATTTACATGTTCTGCATAGCGTGTACCATCTAATTCGATGCTTTCATATTCAGTCTGCTCAGTTTCCCTCTTTTTTTCATAACGACAAGGTTCGACGTGTGTACTTTACTGAAACTCAAACTTCCTCGGCCTTGATTCATGCTATAGCAGACATCCGTCAATCGTATGAAATGTTGCCACCGGTGCGTGGTGTAAGTAAGAATGTTTGGTGTCGCGGGAAATGCCGAACTTTTAAACAAGTGTTTATACTTCTATTGCAGTTACTAGGGATGACTTTTGTCGCTGCGATCTTCAGGTCCGGTTCCGTAGGGGAAGAGAAGAAGTGAGACGCCGAATAGAAAGAATGGTGTATTCTGTACAGAGGTAGTGGAGAATAGGTTGGAAGAAGTTGACTGTCGGACGAACATGCGTCTGCCCCCGAAAGGGGCCGCGTCCAAAGGAGTGTACGCGTGGCAGTAGTCTCGGTGAGGTCCTGTGTGATTCAGTCTCAGGGAGGTGATT